CCATACTGACTTTAGCAACTCCAGTACTCCGGGATCCGCTAGGTTCCGCGAGGGGCATGTGTACAGGTTGCTCAACCCGGAAACGCTGATGTCTGCGGGGGCTCTGCAGCCTTGGCAGTGAGCTGCACGGGAGCAGAATCGCGTCTCCACGTGCCGGTCTGGAATGTGAATGGATCGTGATCTGGGGCGGAAGGGCCACAGCTCTGGTTCGCCAAAAGACAAAGTTCAGCTGCCCAAAACCGGTCTGGGATGGTCGCCGTGAGCGCTGCCGGGTACTTTAGACAAGCTCGGGAGGGCTTGTGCGGTTCTGTTTTGATGATCTGGCTCTGTGCCTGGCAGCCTGGCAGCCTGGGCCTTGGACGAAGGCTTCCAATTGACGGGCTGAGGGCCGGCAGAGCGATTTTGGAGGGCCTCCCCATGCGGCCGCAATTGAGCGGTTGGGCCCTTGGGCGGCCCTTGGGCCCTTGGGCTGAGAGCCGAGGCCTCCAAGAGTCCGATTGATTCTCGATTGCAGCAGGACCTCTCTGCGCTCTGCGTGGCTCTGCGTGCCCCTACTAAGATCCCCCAAGCAAAAGAGGCCAACAAAAATGGAGCCTTCGAGGTCCGTTGAAGCCACAATTTCTCGTCAAGCTGGGCTCCAGCCGAATGCAGCAATCCCGTGTGCCATCACAAGGATCCGCCTAGCTCTGGTCGAACGGAAACTGCACATGAAGATGTTCTACAAAAGGCTACTTTGCCTGCGCTCTCCCGACCCTGAACCATGCACGAACCCTTTAAACAAAGCGCTCAAAACTGTGAACCCGAAGCCCTGTGAATCCTGTCAAGCGCTGTACGCGCCTGCCTGCACTATAGCAATCTCGCACCCCCCGAAATCGCAAACCCTCCTGCCAAGGACTCAGCTAAGACTCCATGCCAAGGGCACACAGCCCTGTCTGCGCCGAGGGTTCCTGACGCTTTGCCGCAGGGCCAAAGCGCCGATCAAAGAGGGGAAGGACCTCAGCAGCGGCGTTCGGCGCAGGAAGTGAGTGGGGCTTGGGCCGCTGGGGGAGGTGTCGGTTCAAAGTGGTTGCTCTGGGAGGCTTGGGGCTGCGGAAACCGATCAGGGCAACGGGCTGCGAGGCTGCGAGCGAAGCCGAGGGCTCCAACAAAAGAGGCTAAGAGGCCTAGGGTTCAAGGGTTCAGACACGCAGCCCCATGCTGCAAGGGCTGACGTGCCGATTTGGCCCAGCGCTTGCAGAGAAGAGGCCAGTGTCCGGGTATCTAGACTGAAAACGAAGGATTCAGTGGCTGTAGGCTGTATACGCCCATCAGGTGTCCAGCTTGAGACTTTGTTTTAGCTTAGTTTTGGGGGCGGCTCAACTTATAAGTTTGAGCAGGCACTTGGGTCTGCAGAGACTTCGCTACCAGGGGGGGGCCTTGGCCCTGCTTTGCCGCTTTCGGAGAGCCGGGGGCCCCGGCTTCGGCACCGGAGTAGCGCTCGGGCTCGAAGAACTTCCGGACTTGGACGCCGATGTTGCTCCCTGCGGGAAGGGACGGGACCCTGTGAGTGAGGAATTCGGAACTTTCTGTTCAGGCTGTTCACGCTGTTCGAGCTTCGCCCTTCGAGTTTCGCCCCGGGTTGCCAGGCAAGTTCACGACAGAAACAGAAGCAAAGCAAGGAACGAGCCCCTGCCTACGTCCAAGTAGATCTTCCTGCACTCTCTCAACCAAGGAGGGTGCCCGTAGCCGCCGTAGCTCGCTCTCAGAGCTTTCGGCTCGGGCTCCAAACTGAAGTCACTGTAGAGCTTGTACCAGGCAACACAGAGCAGCAGGAAGAGCAACTGGAAGAGCCGCTTCATGGCGAGCTCTAGGCCCTAGGCCCCTGAAGTCGCCCCTCCTCCATCTAGGCGACGCCCTGACTGACTTGAGCCCTCCAGATATATGTTTGCACCTGTCTTCACAACGAGACAAATACCCACCCTTCTCCCGCCAAGGGAAAGCAAACTCATCTAGGTCTCGTGTCTCTGCCGAAACACGCAGATCCAACACCCACGAAATGTCCGGTACATTCCGAAGGCAGAGCCTAGTGGGTCCGCAGCGACTTGCGCCTTTGCCTTGGAGGGCTGCAGAACCGACAAGAGCTCCCTGCCCTTTGCTCGGGGTACGAACGGCGGGTGGACGTACGACGGCTACACAACCGCACAATGTGCTTGTTCGGCCTTGTCGTCCCGATGCGGCCGTCGCGACCAGATGGCAAGGGGCGGAAGGCTCTCTTCTGAACCCTGCAATAGCCTCCAAACCCTGAACTCCCTAAACTCCCAAGCCAAACCCTTAACCCCGGCCCTCACAACGCTCCGCCTCTGTAGGCGGCCCCGAACTACATTGCAGGCTCTGCGTGCTCCTGGCTCACAGAAACAACCACAAACAACAGAATGCCGAGAATCAGAGACAAGGATGACAACGATAACAGTATGGGAGAAGTTGCGCAGGCATGAGTGGTGACTGCAGTGATACTGCTGTTGCTACCACTGCTTTTGCGACTGGGACCGCGACTGCGCTTGCGACTCCAACTGCTACTCCTACTCCTTCTGCTCCTCCTCCTTCTACTGCTACTTACGACTACGACAACGACTGCGACTACGACTACGACGACGACGACTACTACTACTACGACTGCGGCTACTATTACCACCCCTGCTGCTGCTTAGACGACCCTGGGCGGGCCTCAGGTGCTTCGACTGGGAAGAGCTTACCAGGCACTCGCTCGAGCACTTCGGGGCTTGGGATATATGTCTCTTTCACAAATCACATCTCGTGTTCAACACACTCCGAAGAATCGAATTCAACCCGGGCCATAAGCTGGTAAGCAGTCGGTTTGGAAAAGTGCATCCCGTCCCAAACTTGACTACATGAACTTCACCAACCCGAAGAAACCCACCCAAAAACCGCCTCAACGGCCAAGCGTCAATCAGATTAGAACATTAAATTTTCCTGATCTTCAACCTCGGATCGCAATCACACGAGTACACGAGCAACACAGGATGGTATGTGGCCTGAGATGGCAATGACGCCCAGCTCAACATGGCCGCGCATGCACACTTCCGTGCGAGCTTCGATGCTTGCGTGTGGGCTTCACCATCCTTACTGGCTACAAGGTTCGGTGCGAAGATCGAGCATGTCATTCTGCGCATGGTCCTCGTGAACGGTCTGATCAACTTCAATTTTAGTGCTGTGGCCCGGCACACCTTGCTGTTCCAAGTCCGCTACATACACTTAAAGGCCTCCAGAGGATCTTGGGCAAAACTGGTTCTGGGCGATGAGAGACTGTTCGGCTGTCTTGAAGTGGATCGACAACATCAGCCCTTCAGGCCGTGGCATCATAGCCGGACTGTTGACCAATCTGGATAAAGAAACGATATGCAACTTCTGAAATCCACACTGCCTGCACTCCTGTCTCGTGAGGGGGGGATCGATCTCCTGTACTCTTAAGAACGTCAAAGCTATCTGCTGGCTCTTTGCCAATGTTCTCGCACGAACACCTTCTTTTGCGCTGTGAGCGGGCAACTATGTGAAACCCGACAGGGTGTGATGTCTCTGATCCAGGTCAAGCGTGTCTTGCAGACAGTCATCAAGGACCGACGGGGCCCCACAACACCACAAGTGACAAAGCTGGTCTAAATGCCAGTATGTTGCCCAGCCGTCGAAGACGGAGCCTGTCCCTGTGAAAGTGTACGGGAAGCCGAGGAAGTCGTATGATTTGACCCGTCGTGTCAGCCAGGCCCTGTTCTCCACCAAATCGTGAGCTGATACGCACGCTCGAGACTGCGAGCACAGCCGAGCGAACTTTTGCGCCAGCAAGGCAGGCCTGAAAGACTCAGCACTCGCACGCCCCTAGCGTTGTCAGCATTTGCGTTCACATCGCCCCCTGCCTGCCAAGCTGCAACAGATGATGGAAATCAGGCACATTCGCGGCTTCGCGGCAAGTCGCCCGAAAGCGTGCAAGCTCCTGCACCTCAATTCCAATTGGGCTCAGGCAGGACAGCTGGACAACACAAGAAGTGAGAACACGCTGCGAGACAAGCCACGACAAGCCATCGAGGCATTTCCGCTACCAGCCTTGCTCGCAGTCAAACTCACTGCCTCTGCACCATCCATGGCTTCACTCATCACTGACAATTTCAGAGCCAGGCAGCATCACGGGGGTTCGATCACCATGCCCTTCCCGAGTCTCCTTGGGGGCATCAACAAGCGTCAGACAACACGACGGGCAACGTCAAGCCCCCGCCTTCCAAAACAGACATGCAATTCCAGTGACGCTCTCAGGCAACGCATTATGATCTTGGCTGTTGCTCCTGGAGCGTGTGCCCTGATTGCACGTAGCACCCCATCCCCACGGTCGCAGCCAGTGAGAAAGCGCACTGCAGCAGGCGGGGTGTCGCGAAGTCTGAGAAGCTCTGAGCTTTGCAGATGCTGCGCTCGTTGCCGGAATCTACCTTCCCGTCCTCCAAATCCCAACCACGTTTATATCAACACTTGAAGTGCCCGTCCTGCAACGGCGAGCTGCAACTCGACGGCAACGCTGTGCGTGGAGACAGTGGAGAGGCCACCCTTGGCTGTCGCAAGCTGTAGCTAAATCTCTGGACCAAACAACCATGGTCGACCGCATGACCAAGAACCATGGGACCACGTCAACACGGTGTAAGATTCAAAAGGTCAATCTCAACATAGTTAGTACCGGACAATCCTCTGTTCTGTCAGTGCAGTCGCGTGCCAATGCGTTGGGCCTTAATCATGAGGGGAGAAAGGCACTTAAATCCACCCAATCCCGTAAAGAGAAGGAAACTCTGTAGGCCCCCGAGGCCGTGGTCCGCTGCTCCGTTGTTTCAAAAAGGTCTTGTGCGACAAAAAGCTTCTGAATCGGTGCCAAAAGTTTCTGAAACGTTGCACAAAGGTTCTGAATCGGTCCAAAAAGTTTGTGAAGCGTAGTTTTCGAATCCGGCCACATAGCTTCTGAATCGGTCCTAAAAGTTTCTGACTCGGGAGAAGTTCCTGAATCGGCCCGGCCAGGAGACAGGGCGATAAAAAATAGCACGCCCTCCAATCAAAGGGACTGATTGCGGGCACACAAGCAAAACGCAGCAAAAAGCAACACGCCGGAAGGGCCCGTACCAGTCGTTCCAGTCAGCATCATCCCAGTAACCAGACCTGGGTCCGATTCATGCTGCATCTGCCAGAGCCACCTGCTTGAGGGGTGACTCGCAAAATTCTGCTCAACCAAACGTGGAGCGTGGCCTTGGCATACCAGCAGAGCCACTGCAGTTCCACTATCAGTGCCCCGTCATCTGGGCTTTCGGCTCGTCACTCCTCAACAAGCTTTCAGACCTGGGCACAACAATTCATGGCTGTCCAAAGACTCATATCTGATAACTTGTGAAGCAGCCTGTCCCAGTCCAGGCTGGTTGCGGGCACGCAAGCAAGCGCGGCAACATCAGCCAACAAGACGCTGCCAGGGCCCGTACTTGTGGGCATCGTCCAGGTCGCAAGGCCTGGGTCCGATTCATGTAACTGCCACCTGCCATCACTTAGCAAATATCATTCCACGTCGCTTGTCAAAACGCGAACGTTTAGGGTTCGGGCTACAGGGTTTTCAATTCTACCGGTGCCCACATCCCAGCCAACATGTTGGCGCGAAAGCTTTGGGTTTCCCGCCCTCTCTCTCCACCCCACATCTTCTCTGCTGAGGTCCTGGGTTCGCCCCCTTTGGAATCAGTGCTAATCAAAATGAAAACGGAAGCTTAGGGCACTGCTGTTCCTCTTCTGTTGTTGCCGGGCTGCTGTCAAAGGACCTCGTGCCAAGGATAGAACTTGAAATCATCTGATGCCCAGAGATCCTCCGCTGATATGCTGCGTGAAAACATCTCCAAAGTCGGGCCTCCTGGCCCTGCCAACCTAAGGTTCTAATATGTAGTAGCAACAATATGTCCTGACCGACTTGCGCACCATAACCCTGACGACATTGCTAATATGGGCATGTGAATATCTGGTATGCAGCATCGAGACATCTCGAGACATCACAACTTCTCTTAGCACAATGGAAATAAACAACTGGCACCAAGCTTCCCAAGAAAAGATGACGAGCTTATCGAGAGGAATACCTCGAGAGGCCAGTTGCTACAGTAGTGTATAGTACTATGGACTATGGGTATTTTCCAAGATATGGGTACACTGTCCTTCCTTCACCCAAAAGATTCGATTCCTGATTTTTTGAAATAAAGCCAAAACTCTATACCCTAAACCAAATCGCCTGCCTGTACCGACCTATTTGTTTTGGGAAGCCCTGATGTGCAGCTCAACGAAGTACCGGCCTGTCATGCGTTGCCGGGAGCGCCCCAGCATGCTTGCAGAACGTGTCCTAGGCAGTGCGTCCTTCCTGGTTTGGGGTTTGGGGTTTAGAGCTCAGGAGGAACTCACCCGGCAAGTTCATGCCATGTCCATCCACTGACCCACTCCACGGATGAAAAGTAATAGAATCCAAAGCAGTCTCTACTTGGGAAGAAACTACCACATACAGGCATGCACTGAAATCTATGTCCTTACCACATTGCCTCCGCAGTCTCTTGATCCACTTGGCAGAGAGTCAGCTTGAACATCTTTTCCAAGGTACCTGTCACATTCTGAGCCGAACAGGCAGATCAAGCACTGACCGGAGTTTTCTTGCAATTGACTGCGGCCGCAAACAGCCCGAGGACCGAGCCTACGATCTTCACGAGACAATGCTCATTCCTGCCGAGCAGTTTCCAAAGCCGATGCAGTGTGTTGGGATGTCCCCGCCGCGGATGGGTGTCCTTGATGGTGCGTCGCTTCGGCGAAGCCAGCCTTCTTTCTTGCCTGAGAAAACGGAGTCTAAGACGTGAAATGACAGTGCCTGCATCCCGATCTTACTAGCATGGTGCAGGCTGCAGGAGGATTGAATCCAGATTTGACACCGTACTGCCGGCCTAGAGGTCCAGGCGGATTCGGTCTTAAGCGAGCACGTGGCACAAGAGCATTAAATCTATATTCAATACCGTCCTGTTGGGTGCAGAGGTCCATGTCAAGTGATTTGAGAGCCAGAAACAGGGAACCAATGAAGATCATTTTAAGTGACCCATATTCTCAATCAAGAAGTCCTGGACATGGGTACATCGGTGTCTGAGACCAGATCCAGATGTGAAGCGTCGAATTAACAAGCAGTCCAGCTGGCTCTTAGACGGTTGTGGCCGAACGATGCATCGGTGCGCTGCTACACCGACATGCCCTAGTGCGACGGCGCGGCGGAAGAGTGCATCACTGTACTGTATCGGCGTATCGGTGGGAGACTGCTTCCACGTCGCTGTTTGCGGTCACCCTGTGTAACTAACTTGCCAAAAGTTGGCACAGAATCCTGCACTAAGGTCACCTACTTTGCAGCAATGTTTACACTCGCAGCTTGCCAACTCCGCTGCCATGCTTTCGCCCTGAAACAATGACAACCAGCGGAAACGCCATGCACCTTCTGCGGTCTCGAACGAGATCACGGCACCGTACTCCATGAGCCGTGAAACCTTCAAGTCCAAACCCTGACCCGGAAACCACGCCACTCAAAGCAACCAAAGAGAAAACAAACAACGGAAAGATAAAGAGAAGAGGAACAAAGAGAACACGCTTCCTGTCACTTCGCTCACTTCATTACGTTTAATTAAATTAGAACAAAGTAAAAGAGGAAAGGAATGAAACAACTAAATTTCTAGTTCATGTGGTTCTTTTGTTCTCTTTATATTTTATTAGCTTGTTTCATGCTTTCATCTCGCTACACTCATTTCATTATAAACAAGCTAAACAAATAGAATGAGAAGAAAGAACTAAACTTTTAACTAATGAAAGAAAGAGGAACGAAGTGAAGAGGAAGAAAGCACAAGGAAGAATGACGCGTGGCTCTGTTCTCTTCGTTCTTCTTCTTTCATTCGTGTTGTGTGTCTTATTTTGTTCTGCTTTTTTCTCTGCATTAGAACAAAATAAGGGTCCTGTGTTAATTTAATGAAGAAAGCATGCGATCACTTCATGCTTCCGTTCACTTATCTTTCTTTCATTAAACTTAACAACAGGACACAACACTTATTTCTCATTATGTTTCGTGGGTCGTTCCTTTCTTCTCGCTTAATTTCAAGTGAGCAGAGAGAGCGCGAGAATTAAACGAGAGAAAGAAACGAACCACCCTTCCTCGCTTCTCCTTTGTTTCGTTTCTGCGGTTTAATTCACGCGGTCGTCTCCTCACTTGTAATTTAACCGCAGAGAACGGACAAAGAAAGAAGAAGAGGAAGTGACTTGACTGGCGGTAGAATCATGAAGGTAGTTACACACGGTTATCTCTTTTGTTCACTTTCATTTCAATAAAACATAATGAACGAAGAATGAGTGGAAGCATGGTTTTATTGAATTGAAATGAAACAAAAGAGCCCGTTCGTGCCTTGTCCAATTTAAATAAGCACGCATTCACTTCATGCTTTCATTACTTTGTCTTATTTAATTGAACAAGGAACGAACAAGACATGAAAGTTGTAGCGTGTGAAGAAAGAACGAACAATAAGATCAAAGGGAAAAAGTCAAAGGTAATGGAATGAGTGACAAAGGAGCGAAATGAAGCACGCTTTGTTCTTTTTCACTTTGCTCTTTTGTTTCGTTCGTTCCTCCCTTTGTTTATTTTATTAAAACCGCGCGTTTCCTTGCGTTTTAATTAAATAGAACAAAAGGAGGATGAATGAACGAGCCAAAAGACCCTGATTTCGTTCCTATTTTGTTTGTTTCGTTCATTATTTTCTCGCTTCGTTCTCTCATTGAAAAATAATGAACAAAACATAAACAAAATATTCTCTTCATTGTTCGTTCCATCTTCCTCTCCTTCTCCTTGCTTTCTGTTTCATTCAGTTACAATGGAAGAAATGGAAGCATGAACTGAATGAAACAAAAGAAAGAAAGGAGAAGCGAGGAAGAGCCCAAAGGTAAAAGTAAAGAAAAACCACGCATTCACTTCTTTCATTTGTGTTCTTTCTTTACATTTAACTTTGGTCTTTCTTCATTATATTTAAGGAGTGAGGAACGAACGTGGTCTTTTGGGTCATTTGTGTGGCTTATTTGTAATGTAGCGAGAGAAAGGAGTGAAGCACGAAATAAGCCAAACAAATGAAACAAAAGGTGTAGTTGTGTGCTGGTTTATTTTGATGAAACGAAACGGTGCACGCTTCACGCATTCATTGTCACCTTGTTTCGTTGAATTAAAAGAACCACCACACATTACAATTAAATTGCTGGGGTTGAACGCGGGGCTTGAACGTGCTTCTGAACATCCGTTCACTCTGGCGGCTTTCGCCGTTGCTCCTTTATCCGATGTCTGCGTGGCTCCTGAACAACATTTTTGGGCTGGAACGCGCGTCAAACTGGTGGCGTTTTGTAATTGTCATCTTAACCCGCCGTCTGCGTGGCTTTTGGACAAATTGGCTGGGTTTGACCTGCATTCTGCGTGGCTTGTGAACGACGCGTGCGGCGGAATGCAAGATCCAGGAAGCTGAGACTCCCCACTGCAAGCACGGCAAACATATAAATGCTCTTGGGAAACACTTCAGTCCATGCCCAGTACGCAACTATCATGGCTAGACTCCGCGTCCCGCCGTGCTAAGATGATGGAAGTTGGCATTGCAAGTAGTTCATTACAACATCAAAGAGCCCCGGAACTCGAATCTGTGATGAAGCTTTCGTGGCATCTTTTGTGGACACTGTGTTGTCCACTTTTTTGATGTCAAAGTTTCATGGAAGAATAATTAATTTATGTTCAGTGTGGCTCTGGTGTCAAGAATCTAGCTGTTGAGATGGTTGGGGAAGGTGGGTGGAAAAGACTATCAGCTGAGGGGCAAACTCGGCGAACGTGACAAAAGTGGTCAAACTCAGCAAAGCTGTGAGAAGGCCTCAGCAAACAGCTCGACTGCAAAATCAGTTGCAGCTGAATTCCGCTCTCAAAATGTTACACGACATGCACTTTTCACAGCTCCGGCTGAGCACCGTATGGCTTTACATATTCTTGCGCAAGTCTGCAAAACCGGTTCTCGCCCTTAACATGTGTTGATAAGCATAGATTGCGAACCCCTCTCTTCGTTTAAGGACGCCCCGCCCAAGTAAACAGAAACACCATGAGCCCCCTGCTCCACTCCGTGCCAGGTCGGATTTCCGCAGTAATCTTTCGAATGGCCTTGCCACGCTGCCGAGCTCGAATGCGCTAACCCCAACCAAAATGGCAAAACCAAGAGCCCCGCATCCTCAGCGTTTGGCCACCAACCCGGCGGCAGTAAAAAGACCACCTGAATCTCGTAACGGTAGTCGATGATGCCTTCGGAAGGCCTGGCACGGGCCCAGCAGGGGCTGCGGGGTGGAGAGTTTTTGTTCAGAGCGCCGAATACTGCATTGGCATGTCGCAGTAGTCCCGAGCACGAACCCTACAATCTCCTGAGGGAAGCCAAGGCAACCCCCCCCCACCCCCCCGAGAGAACAAATTGCAAAAAAAACACGTCCCTCCTGCGCTAAGCTCATGTTGCACTCAACACCGACCTCATCTCTTGCGCCACGTAGAAGCCCCCACTCTTGCTTTCCACGAGCTGGATCGCCCGGTGCATGCCGCACTGCTTGCTGCACCTGACATGTCGCGCAAGCAGTGGCTTGAAAATTGAATGCATGGTAGGCTTGCGGCTCCAGAGTTGGCACGTGCAGCACACCGTCTTCCTCCCAGGGCCTGCATCAGCAAACCAAATTGCGGCTGGATCGCACAAAGGAAGGCAGCCGGCCTCGCTGTAACGATCAAAGTGTGGGTACATGCCTTTGGCAAAACTCACATGAGAGAGGTGGGCGTGTCAAACACGAGCGCTCAAGCTGGAACGAACTTGAGAAAGGGGCCGCTGGCTGGATCATGAGAGACCCAGGTACAGCCTGCAGTCCGGCATTCCAACTGCGTCTAGGTTGGTCTCAGTCTACGCTGGTTTCAAGGCGCGGAAAGGGGTATTGATGTTTGGGGAGTGCTTTGAGGGATTGCTTTCGCTTTTGGTTCTGGGCGCCAAAACCTGCATAAGGCTTGTTGGAGCCTCGGCATTTTGCTGAGTCGCCAAGCTTCAACATGAGTACCATGTGTAGAACCCAAAGCAAACCTATCGGAGTTCAATGTCACATTTTTCAACGGGGCCTGTGACATGAAGTAAGCAACATGAAGCAGAAGGATGACATGTGAGGACGATGAACGACGCTCCGCCCCCCGCTCCACTGTAAAATAAAATCACAAAGGCCACCCGCCCAGATGGGAGCAGGGTCACTTGCACCTTTTTGTTTTAATCACTTGCGTCTTTTATTTGGTCAATTGCGTCTTCTTTTTTTGGTCACTTGCGCCTTTTCCAATCATTTGTGCCTTTTTGATATCCCCCCCAGCCAAAACGCAGGAAAAATCGCAAAAACCAACAGAACACAAATGTGATCACTTAGGCCTTTTTCAATGCTCCCCAGAAACCATGAAATCCATTGCAGAAAAACCACCCCACCTCCCACCGACACCAGGGGCACAAGCCCCCCTCAAAGAAAAAAACATCCACCCCTCGCACCCAAATCGCTTTCTGACTAACCCAAACGAGCTCATTGCTCGTTTGGATTGCAAAATGAAGCAATTAAACCCCCCCTCCGCCCCCCCATCCCAGCAACATCAGCCCCCAGCAGAAATTCCAGCCCCCCGCAAAGCAGAAAGTCTGCCAAGCGACCAAACCAAACACTGACGCAAGCGAGAAAAAATAGCCACAAGCGACCCACGACGCACCCAGATATGGAAACGGCTTGCGACAGAAAACTCAGCTCCCAGAAGAATTGTATGTTGTAACGGCTGCCACTGCCTAACCTCGCCGAGCTCAGGGATCTGCGCTGCTCTCTCCGCAGCAAAGGAAGGCTTCCGGGCTAGATTTGTATCGGGACGAATCTCAAAACATGATTTTCAAGGGACCTGGCCACCTGACCTCCCAGGACGACACCACCCATTCCTCCAAGCCTCCTTTCCCAGAGTACCATGCGATTGCCAGTAGCTTTTTTGGATGTCCGCAGCAAGTACCAAGCAGTAAGAAGCAAGTAGGAAGTGGTAAGCAACTAAGTAGAAAGTAGCAAGTAGGAAACGGTAAGTAGTAAATAATACGTAGTTTAGATGTCATCTCCTGGATACAGCACTGCCCTCCCACGAAACACATTAATTACAGCCTGGTGCGACGTCACTACGAGCCACTGCATACAACACAGCCAGCATTCTACGGGGTCTTGTATATTCACCGAAGCAGATCTGATTGGCACTTTCATCTGCACGGGGCACAAGACAACCAGCATCCAGTAATTTATGGGGGGTTTTGAGAATTGAAGAGTGAAGATTCCCAAAAGAATTATTGTTCAAGTCGCCCTCACATTTGGAACCTTGTGGGGGGGAGCATTGAAGACTGGAGAAGCTTTCCTGCAAACATTGAAGCCTTCCAGTAAAAAAATCGACGTGATGTATTTTGCTGCG